ATGGTTCTTTCACTGTGCAGCTTTTTAGTTTGATATAATCCCATTTATTTATTTTTGGTTGTTTCCCTTGCCTCTGGAGTCAGATCCACAAAAATACCACTAAGACCAATATCAACATTTATCAACTATGTTTTATTCCAGGTATTTTATGTTTTCAAGTCTAACATTCAAGTCTTTAATACATTTTGAGTTAATTTTTGTGGATGGTGTAAGATCGTGGCCTAGTTTCACTATTTTGCATGTGGCTGTCCAGTTTTCCTAATATCATTTACTGAAAAGATTGTCCTTTCTCCATTGCATGTTCTTGGTGCCTTTGTTGTAAATTAGTTGTCCATATATGTCTGAGTTTAGTTCTGGGACCTCAATTCTTTCTGCTGATCTGTATATCTGTTTTATGCCCTATATCACACTATTTTATAGCTTTGTAGTATAGTTTGAAACTAGGGAGTGTGATTTTTTCAGCTTTGTTATTCTTTCTCAAGATTTCTTTGGTTACTCAGGATCTTTTGCGTTTCCATACCAGTTTTAGAATTATTTCTTCTAAAAAAAAAAAAAAAAAGAGGTTAGAGTGGAAGAGAGCCAAAGCATAAGAGACTCTTAAAAATTGAGAACAAACTAAGGGTTGATGGGGGGTGGGAGGGAGGGGAGGGTGGGTGATGGGTATTGAGGAGGGCACCTTTTGGGATGAGCACTGGGTGTTGTATGGAAACCAATTTGACAATAAACTTCATATATTGAAAAAAAAAAGAATTATTTCTTCTAGTTTTGTGAAAAATGCCATTGGAATTTAGATAGGTATTGCCCTGAATCCATAGATTCCTTTGGGTAGTATGGACATTTTAATAATATTAATTCGTGCAATCCATGAGCATGGAATATCTTTCCATTATTTGTGTCTTCTTCAATTTCATCATACAGGTCTTTCACCTCCTTGGTTAAATTTTTTCTTGGTTATTTTATTCTTTTTGATGTAACTGTAAATGGGAATGTTTTCTTCTCTTTCTGGTAATTCATTATTAGTGTATAGAAATGCCACTGATTTCTGTAAGTTGATTTTATATACTGCTATTTTGCTGGATTCATTTATTAGTTTTAACATTTTTTGGGTGGAGTCTTTTGGGTTTTTAATGTATAGTATGGTGTTATTTGTAAATAGTTTTATTTCTTCCTTTCAGATTTGGAGGTCTTTTATTTTTTTTTTTTATTTGCCTAATTTTTATGGCTAGGACTTCCAATACTATGTTAAATAAAAGTGGTAAGAGTGGGCATCCTTGTCTTGTTCCAGATCTTAGAGAAAAAGCTTTCAGCTTCTTCATCAGAGTATCATGTTAGTTGTAGGTCTGTCAGATATGGCCTTTATTATGTTGATGTATGTTTATTCTATACATAGTTTGTTGAGTTTCTGCCATAAAAGGATGTTGAATTCTGTCAAATGCTTTTCCTGCATTTATTGAGAGGATGACAGTATTTTTTCATTTTGTTACTGTGGTGTATCAAGTTGATTGACTTGTGGATATTGACCCATCCTTACATCCTTGGAATAAATCCTATCTGATCATGGTATTTGGTCCTCTTAACGTATTACTGAATTCAGTTTGCTAATATTTTGTTGAGAATTTTTCCATCAGTGTTCATCAATGATACTGGCCTGTAATTGTGTGTGTGTGTGGGGGGGGTATCTTTGTCTGATTTTGGTATCATGGTAATGCTGGCTTCATAAAATGAGTTGGGAAATGTTCTTTCCTCTTCTTTTTTTTGCAACAGTTTGAGAAGAGTAAGTATTAAATCTTTCAACGCCTGGTAGAATTCACCAGTAAAGCCGTGTGGTCCTGGACTCTTGTTTGTTGGTTTTTTTGATTACTGATTCAATCTCTTTATTAGTATAAAGATTTTCTATTTCTTCATGATTCAGGCTTGGAAGATTGTATGCTTATAGGAATTTATCAATTTCTTTAAGGTTATCCAGATTTTTGGCATAAAATTGTTCATAGTAGTCTCTTATGATTCTTTGCATTTCTGTGGTGTCGGTTTAACTTTTCCTCTTTCACTTCTGATTTTATTAAAGCTTGTTCTATTTTTTTATTGATTAGCCTAGCCAAAGGTGTGTCAATTTTGTTTATCTTTTCAAAGAACCACCTTATTGTTTTATTGATCTTTTTCTTTTGTTTTTGTGTGTTTCTTTGAGTCTCTATTTCATGTATTTCTGCTCTGATCCTTATAATTTCCTTCCTTTGACTGATTTTGGACTTCATTTGTTTTTCTTTTTCTAGGTGTAAAGTTAGATTGTTTGAGATTTTTCCTGTTTCTTGTTAGATCTTTATTGCTATGATCTTCTTTCTAAGAACCACTTTTGCTGCATTTCAAAGATTTTTATATGTTGCATCTCTGTTTTCATTTGTCTCTAGGTAAGTTTGATTTCTTTGATTTCTTTGATGACCCACTGGTTATTCAGTTGAATGCTGGTTGATGTCCACATTTCTGTGGTTTTTCCACTTTTCTTATGATTCATTTCAGATTCATACCACTGTGTTCAGAGAAGATGCCTAATATAATCTTCTTGAATTTATTTAAACTTGTTTTGCAGCCTAACATGATCTATCTGGAGACTGTTTCATGTGCACTTGAGAAGAATGTGCATTCTGTTGCTTTTGGATAGAATGTTCTGTTGGTCTAATGTGTCATTTAAGGCCAATGATTCTTTAAATGATCTACCCAGTGATGTAAAGGAGAAGTAAAGTCCTTTATTGTTGTATTGCTGTCAATTTCTCCTCTTAGGTCCCTTGATATTTGTTTTATATACCGTAGTACTCCTATGTTGGGTGCATATATATTTATAAGTGTTATGCCTTCTTGTTGGATTAATCCCTTTATCATTATGTAATATCCTTATTTGTTTATTATGACAGTCTTTTTTTTATTTAAAAAAAATTTTTAATGTTTATTTTTGACAGAGAGAGAGAGAGAGAGACAGAGCATGAACGGGGGAGGGGCAGAGAGAGAGGGAGACACAGAATCCAAAGCAGACTCCAGGCTCTGAGCTGTCAGCACAGAGCCCGAAGCAGGGCTCGAACTCACAGACTGCAAGATCATGACCTGAGCTGATGTCGGACACTCAACCGACTGAGACACTCAGGTGCCCCATGACAGTCTTGTTTTAAAACCTGTTTTGTATGCTGTGAGTATAGCTACGCCAGTTTTATGTTTCCATTTGTATAGTTTCTACATCCCTTCACTTTCAGTCTCTATGTGTCCTTACTTATGAAGTGAGTCTCTAATAGGCAGCATAGAGATGGGTCTTGTTTTTATTTACCCATTCATCACTCAATTTCTTTTTTTCTTTAATGTTTATTTTTGAGAGGAGCTGAGGAAGGTGGGGTTGAGGATCCAAAGTGGGCTCTGTGCTGACAGCAGAGAGCCCAATGCAGGGCTCAAACTCACGAACCATGAGGTCATGACCTGGGCTAAAGTCAGATGCTTAATCGACTGAACCATACAGATGCCCCTCACCACTCAATTTCTTGACTGGGGTTTAGTCTCTATATTTAAAGCAATTAATGGAATGCCCAAGTGGCTCAGTCAGTTAAGCGTCTGACTTTGGCTCAGGTCATGATCTCACAGTTCACAGGTTTGAGCACCACATCAGGCTCTGTGCTGTTAGCACAGAGCTTGTTTTGGATTCTCTGTCCCTCTATGTCTCTCTGTCTGCTCCTTCCCCACTATGTCTCTGTGTCTCTTGAAAATAAACATTTATGGGGCGCCTGGGTGGCGCAGTCGGTTAAGCGTCCGACTTCAGCCAGGTCACGATCTCGCGGTCCGTGAGTTCGAGCCCCGCGTCAGGCTCTGGGCTGATGGCTCGGAGCCTGGAGCCTGCTTCCGATTCTGTGTCTCCCTCTCTCTCTGCCCCTCCCCCATTCATGCTCTGTCTCTCTCTGTCCCAAAAATAAATAAAAACGTTGAAGAAAAAAAAAATTTAAAAAAAAAGAAAATAAACATTTATATAAATATAAATACACGCGCGCGCGCACACACACACACACACACACACATATATATGGTAATGATGTAATTATTGATAGGTATGTACTTACTGCCATTTTGGGAATTGCTTTCTGTCTGTCCTTTCTCATGTGCTTTTCGGTATTTAAGTCTTTGTTTTGTGGTTACTGACAAGTTCACATATAGCTTCCTATGTACAGAACGATCTATTTTTTTTTAATGTTCATTTTTGAGAGAGAGAGAGAGACTGAGTATGAGAGTGAGCGGAGGAGGGGCAAAGAGAGAGGGAGACACACAATCCAAAGCAGGCTCCAGGCTCTGAGCTGTTAGCATTGAGCCTGATGCAGGGCTTGAACCCATGAACTAGAGATCATGACCTGAGCTGAGGTGGATGCTCAAGCGACTGAGCCACCCAGGTGCCCCTAGAACAAAATATATTTTGAGTTGACAGCAAGTTAAATTTGAACACACTCCATAATTTTACATTCCTGCCCTCTTGCCCATGCAATCTTTTTTTGATGACACATTTTACATCTTTTCATTTCTGAGCATCCCTAATGCCTAAACTTAACTAATTATTGTAGTTTTAATTTTTCTATTTTTGTCTTTTTTTTTTTTTAATTTTTTTTTCAACGTTTATTTATTTTTGGGACAGAGAGAGACAGAGCATGAACGGGCGAGGGGCAGAGAGAGAGGGAGACACAGAATCGGAAACAGGCTCCAGGCTCTGAGCCATCAGCCCAGAGCCCGACGCGGGGCTCGAACTCATGGACTGCGAGATCGTGACCTGGCTGAAGTCGGACGCTTAACTGACTGCGCCACCCAGGCGCCCCATCTATTTTTGTCTTTTAACCTTCATATTTAAGTGATTGAGCCATTACTTTTACTACATATTTACCTTTTCCAGTGAGATTTTTAGTTTCTTATGTTTTCTTGTAATTAATTAGTGTCCCCCCTCCGTCCCCCCCCACCACCCAGTTTAGAGAGGTCCCTTTATCATTTCTTATAAGGTCAGTTGAGTAGTGATGAACTCCTTTAACTTTTGCTTGTAGTAATAGTCTCAAAATAGTCTCAAAAATCCTTCTCTTCATCAGATCTTTGATTCCCCTGCAAAGCTTTTGGTCTCTGAGCTTGAATATGGAGCTTTACTCCACCAATAATATGGTATTCTTGTTGTAGTGCACTCTGAAGTTCTTCTTCTGACGAAAACTGAATCCAACCCATGCCTCTGTAAAATCCAGTCTTTGTCAAAAGATACAGTGCACTTTCATATATGGCCAAACTGGGCAAAGTGTTCTCTCAGCTCACTCGAGGCTGCGGTCCAGGGAATTTTTCCGACAGAAGCCACAGGAGGGCTAGTACTCATGCACAGTGCCACAGAGTCCCTCACTAATGAAGTTGCCATCTTTAGATCTGTCTGGAAAACTCTTAATCTCTCCCTCAAGTCTGAATGATAATTTTGCTAGGTTGAGAACTCTTTGTTGGATGCCATTCTCTTCTGGTTTCAACATCTCTGCCGAAAAATCTGATGGCCTTATGGAGTTTCCCTTGTATATATTAAGTTGTTTTTATCTTGCTGCTTATAAGATTCTAACTTTGGGGTGCCTCGGTGGCTCAGTTGGCTGAGCGTCTGACTTCGGCTCAGGTCATGATCTCGCAGTTCATGAGTTCGAACCCCACGTTGGGCTCTGTGTTGACAGCTCAGAGCCTGGAGCCTGCTTCAGATTCCGTGTCTCCTCCTCTCTCTGTCTCTCCCTCCCATGCTCATGCTCTCTGTCTCTCAATAATAAATAAATGTTAAAAAAAATTTTTTTTAATGTATTAAGATTCTAACTTTTACCATTTTAATTGCAATATGTTTGGAGCCTGCTTTGGATTCTGTGTCTCCTCTCTCTGTCTCTCAACAATAAATAAATGTTAAAAAATTTTTATTAAAACTTATTAAGATTCTAACTTTTACCATTTTAATTGTAATGTGTTTGGTGTGGATTGCTTTGTGTTCATCTTTTTTGGAACTCTCTGGGTTTCCTGGACCTGTATGTCTGTTTCCATTCCCAGATTAGGGAAGTTTCCAGCCTTTATTTCTTCAAATAGTTTTCTAGCCCTTTCTCTCTTCTTCTGGGAGCCTTATGTTATTCTACTTGAAACTGTCCCCAAAGTGAATTTATCTTCACTTCTAAAAATTCTTTTTTGTTTTGCTGCTTTATCTGGGTATGTTCTACTGCTTTGTCTTCCAATTTGCTGATCTTGATCTTCAGTTTCACCCACTGTGCTGTTAAACTCCTTCTAGTGTACTTTACAGTTCAGTCATTATATTCTTCAGCTCTGTAACTTGTTTGAAGCTTATGTTTTCTCTTTGTTGAGGATCTCACTGTGTTCAGTCATTCTTCTGCTGAGTTTGGTGAGCATCTTTATGACCATTACTTTGAACACTTTACCAGGTGGATGATTTATCTCCATTACATTAATGTCTTTCTCCAATGTTTTGTCTTGTTCTTTCATTTGAGACATTATCCTCTGTCTCATTTTGCCCAACTTTGTTTCTATGTATTAGGCAAAAGATATATCTCTCCCAATCTTAAAGGAGCCACCTTTTTAAGGAGATGGTACATGGATCCCAGAAATGTAATCCCCTCTGACGACCAAACCTAGGCACTCAAGGGATGTCTCCTGTGTGGGATGTGCACTCCCATCTACTAAATGTGGCCATATCTGTTGTGTAGTGGTTGGCAAGGTTATTGCCCAGCCTAGCTCCAATATATGACTGGCATTGGAAAGTAGTTGTGGGCTAGGCTGTGACACATCCTTGCACGAGGATGTGGGGCAGAGTTCTCAGCAGGGCACACTCACTGACTCCAGCAGGGTAGAGGGACAGTTCCAAAATGGCATCTACTGGCTGTGACAATGGAAAGGCAGGATGAAATTACAATTGGATCTGCCAATGATTCCATCCATGAAAAAAGTCCCAAAAGCTTCCTACCTCTCCAGTAGGCATTTTAAGATTAGTAAGTGAGTCTCCTCCACAACCGGTCTACATGCTTTTCAAATTGGTATTTTTGAATTAGGTTTCAGGGAGAATGAGTCTGTGAGTGAGCCCTTTGGGGGAGGGGAGGTCTCTGTTCCCTATAAATCTACGGTTTTCATAGTCCTTGTTTTTCAAAACCTGGCATTTAGGGGTCTTATCTCTCTTGTGCAGGATTTAAGAGCTGGCATGCCTGATATGGAGCATCATGAGAGAATAGTTCAGTATTTTTGAGATCCCTCATGACTGTGAACTGCTCCAAATAGGATGGGTCTTTTTTGGCAAGACAGTGTCTCTGCCTCTCCTACGCATCTTGATGCTGTCCTTTTGTGTGGGGGCTCTGCTCATCCAGTTTTCTGGCCTTTTCCAGAGGAAATTATTCCATATGTAGCTGTCCATGGGAGTGAATTTATGAACTTCCTATGCCACCATCTTGAACTCAACTCCCTTTCCCTGATATCTTATTTAAAGCAATCTGTAAGCTGTACATGTATAAAGCCTATTCTTACGATCTCAATTAAACAATAGTTAATTGATGTTGGAACTCCTTCTTTGGTTATTTTGGAGAACAGAGTAAGGCTTAAGAAATTACTATAAACAGTACAAAAAACAAATGTGCCTCTTCTATGGCTCTTTCATGTTTAGACTATACTATTAAATTTTGTGGAGATTAAAATATAACATTATTGGGGAATGTTCTTGCTTGAGTCAGAGGAGGCAAAACGAAATAACTTCTAGTGAATTGTATCACAGTTGACAAAGGGGCTTATTATTATCTATTGATTGGATTGGAGTTGTTATCTGCTCTATGGTAGTTTCTTTTTTTATTATTTTTTTAATGTTTATTTATTTTTGAAAGAGAGAGGGAGAGAGACAGAGTATGAGCTAAGTAGGAGCAGAGAGAGAAGGAGACACAGAATCTGAAGCAGGCTCCAAGTTCCAAGCTGTCAGCACAGGGCCTGATGCAGGGCTTGAACTCATGAACTGAACTGCGAGATCATTTAACCAACTAAGCCACCCACGTTCGCCTATTGTAGTTTCTGTTACATTCTCTGCAGAGGAGGAATTCTGTTTTTTTGTTTGTTTGTTTGTTTGTTTTTTAAGTGGGCTTCACACCCAACATGGAACCCAATGTGAGGCTTGAACTCATGACCCTGAGTCAAGACCTCAGCTGAGATCATGAGTTGGATGCTTAACCAATTGAGCCACCCAGGCACCCCCAGCGCAGGAATTCTTAATACATTTTATCTCTGCTACTCTTCTAGCAAGACAAGAAAATTAAAAGCTTTTTGTGAAGTTGTAAAAACAACTACAATAACATTATAACATTATATATTAATTTATAGTTGATTATTTGATTTGCCCAAGTACACATCTGTGTAAGAAGACTTAATTGCTTCTCATACCCTAGAATTTTATCACGATGAGAACTAAGAGACTGGATTGAGTACACGTGTTGAATTGGCATTTAATATTACATGTGAAAAAGAAGGTATTTCAAAACTGTTCTATTATAAACACACATTGTCTTACACAGGAGATGATGAATATAAGAAGTTTTATTTGGATGTACTTTGAAAAAACAAAAAGAGAGAAAGCAACAAAAGCAGTGTAATAGTCTCAAAAAATATTCCAGATAATCTCTAATTATGTGTTTCTAGTTTTTGCAAATTTCTGTGAATTCTGGTTGCATGTGCCAGTACACTTGAGGATACTTGCTTTAACAACCTAAGACTGAAGCGGGGGGTGGGGGGGGGTGGTGCCTGGGTGGCTCAGTTGGTCAAGCATCTGACTTTGGCTCAGGTCATGATCTCACAGCTTTGGAGTTCAAGCTCCACACTGAGACCTGTGCTGACAGCTCAGAGCCTGGAGCCTGATTCGGATTCTGTGTCTCCCTCTCCCTCTCTCTGCCCCTCCCCACAAAAATAAATGAACATTAAAAAAAAATTGGAATGCAAACTGGTGCAGCCACTCTGGAAACAGTATGGAGGTTCCTCAAAAAATTAAAAATAGAACTACCCTATGACCCAGCAATTGCACTACTAGGGATTTATCCAAGGGATACAGCTATGCTGTTTCGAAGGGGCACATTCATCCCAATGTTTATAGCAGCACTATCAACAATAGCCAAAGTACAGAAAAAGCCCAAATGTCCATCGATGGATGAATGGATAAAGAAGATGTGGTATATAGATATACAATGGAGTATTACTCGGCAATCAAAAAGAATGAAACCTTGCTATTTGCAACTACATGGATGGAACTAGAGAGTATTATGTGAAGCAAAATTAGTCAGAGAAAGGCAAATATCATATGACTTTACTCATATGAGGACTTTAAGATACAAAACAGATGAACATAAGGGAAGGGAAACAAAAATAATATAAACACAGGGAAGAGAACAAAAACATAAGAGACTCTTAAAGATGGAGAACAGAGCATTACTGGAGGGGTTTGGGAGGGGGGATGGGCTAAATGGGTAAAGAGCATTAAGGAATCTACTCCTGAAATCATTGTTGCATTATATGCTAACTAACTTGGGTGTAAATTAAAAAAATAAATTAAATAAAGTTAAATTTAAAAAGAACCTAAGACTGAAGGAATAGGAGAATGAGAAATTATGAGAATCTAGTGACAGATCTCAATTGGACGTTTTTTGGATTAACAATATAAATTCTAAATATCTTCTAGCTATAAAAATTCACCATTCTATGTAAAAGTACACAAACTTACAAGCTATACGACAATCAAACCATTCACAATTTGGCTACAATCCAAACGTTCCAGCATGATGCTTTAGTCATTTGAAAATTGTCCTGTTTCCCAAATACATACTTTCCTTTCTTAGTGCCTTTTTCATCCTTTTCACTTAAAATTCAGTCTTCTAATTCCTCTTGCCCTTGGTGGTTCAGCTCAGTTCAGTACACATTCATTAAATGTCTTGTATGTGACAAAGGTCACATTAAGCACTGAGCCAAGATAAGGCCTCCATCTTAAAATGTTACCCCGAGAAATCTAGGTAACTAGAACACGGGTACATGTGAAGTCTGTTGGTAGACTGAGCCTGGAGTGCCCTAAGAACTCTGTGAAACAATAAGGTAGGTTGAAGCTTTAGCCCTTTTGAAACTCCAGGGAGAAGAGGGAATTTCAATATGTTGTACTGGGTTGAAATTGGTGGCCTAATGGATTTTGAGGCCTTTTGAGGCAGTGCACACTAAGTAGTAATTTATTTATCAGCTCTTCAATTATATTTTAAAAAGGAATTGCTTGTTTCCTTCTAAAAAGTTATCTGTAAATGACACTTATAAAATTGGAAAATAAACTCCAATTTGGTTAACATGTGTATCTAAGAATTACTTCTACATTTCATTAATATTGTCTCTCCATTAAAACAAAAGAATCTTAAATTATTTAATTTAAGCAAATAAGTCTGTATTCTGGATACTTAATGTTGTAAAATAAGCATATACCATTATTTCATAAAACACATGTGTTTAAAAATTTCAAGTATCAAGAGATTGAGAAGACAAGCCACACACTGGGAGAAAATATGTGTAAAATAAAGAAGATATATATATGAAAAAATGTTCAACATCATATGTCAATAGAGAACTACAAATTAAAACACTAATGAGGTATCGCTACACACCTATTAGAATGGCC